CCCTTTTGGGTTCTGCTGGACACATTCGGGGCTTCTTGGGTCGTCTCTGGGCCCCCGTGGGCCGTTCAGGAGGAGGACACGGTAGCCTTCCAGAGAGGGGGGAGGGGGGGGAGGTATCCTGCTGGAGGGTGACGATGAACTTTTCTGGAGGGGGCGGGGGCGCCCCTCCACAGAGAAGGGGTATCCTTTTCTGGAGCTGGGGGCCTCTTGGGCCGTCTCGGGCCAGGTCGGGGGGCCTCGCGGCCTCTCGCGCCGATCTGGCCTGCAGCTGCCCAAAAAAGGCACGAACGCGGATCCCACTCAAGTCTCGCGGGCGATGTTTCTCGCCCAATCCCCGAGTTTCGCCCGAAAAGTCTGGCCGCTCAGAAGAATGGGAAAACCCTGGGATACACCCCAAGGGGGCTATTCGGACGCACCCCTATCGAGAATGGACACCCCCCCATCGTATATCCCAGGGTTAGGCCCCAAATTTCTGGTCCATTCGGAAACCCCACGAAGCCTGGGATAGGGGTCGACATATCCCCTGTTAAAGTCCAATCGATCATCAAGGATTGCTGCTCCTCGAGGCCCACCTAACGGCCCAACGGCTCTGTTCCACAGTAGCTCGAGTCCAATTCGACCCTAGGTCGACTGCGGGAACAAGGCCGATCACAGCCACTTCGGGCCGTTCACGAACTATTTCGGGCGGAGTACAAGCACCGAACAGGGACCGGTCGCAGCGTGAAGGAGTCCGACACCAAGTCTACAAGACTCTGAAGCGCGTCTGAAGCGCCTTTGAAGCGCCTCTGAAGAACCTCGGAAGCGCGTCTGATGAGCTTTTGAAGAGCCCATGGGGCGCCTTTGAAGAGCTTCTGAAAAAGCTTCTGAAGCGCCTCTGCAGAGCCTCTGAAACGCCTCTGAAGAGCTCCGGCCGGAAGCGCGTCTGATGAGCTTCTGAAGTTCCTTTGAAGCGCGTCTGAAGAGCCTCTGAAGCGCCTCTGGACAGCCTTCTGAAGAGCCCCTGAAGTGTCTCTGAAGCGCCTCTGAAGCAACTCTAAGGCGCCTCTGAGGAGCTTATGGAGAGCCTCTGTAGATCCTCCGATGAGCGTCTGAAGAGTTTCTGAAGCGCTTCAGCGCCACTGAAGCGCCTCTGAAGCGCTTCAGATGAGCTCCTAAAGAGCCTCCGGTGAGCTTCTGAAGAGTTTTCTGAAGAGCTTCTGAAACACCTCTGAAGAGCCTCTGAAGAGCGTCTGAAGAGCATCTGAAAAAAAAGCATCTGCAGGGCCTCATATGATCTTCTGAAGAGCTCCTGAAGCGCTTCTGAAGCGCCTCTGAATCGCCTCTGAAACGCCTCTGAAGCGCTCTGAAGAGCCTCTGAAGAGCTTCTGGAGAGCATTTGGTGAGCTTCTGAAGCGCTTTTGAATCGCCTCTCTAGCGCTTCTGAAGCGGCCCTGATGAGCTTTTGAAGAGCCTCCGAATCGCTTCTGAAGAGCCTTTGATGAGCTTCGGAGGAGCTTCCGAGGAGCTTCTGAAGAGCCTGTGAAGAGCTTCTGAAGAGCTTCTGAAGAGCCGCTAGAGAGTTTCTGAAAAGCTGCTGAAGAGCCTCTGAAGAGCTTCTGAAGAGAATTTGAAGAGCTACCGAAGAGCTTCTGAAAAGCTTCTGAAGAGCCTCTGAAGAGCTTCTGAAGAGCTTATGGAGAGCCTTTGCAGAGCCTCTGAAGAGCTTCTGAAGAGCCCCTGAAGAGCTTCTGAGGAGCTTGTGAAGAGCTTCGGCGGAGCGTCTGAATAGCTTCTGAAGAGCCTCTGAAGTGCTTCTGTTGAGGAGCTTCTGAATAGCTTCTGAGGAGCCTCTGAGGAGCCTCTGCGGAGCTTCTGGGGAGCTTCTGAAGAGCTCCCGTAGAGCTTCCGTGGAGCTTCTGAGGAACATTGGGGAGTTTCTGAGGATCTAATGAGGAGCTTCAGAGGAGCTTCCGAGGAGCTTCTGAGGAGGTTATGAAGAGCTTCCGAGGAGCTTCTCAAACTGGCTCTGGAATCCTGTTGCTCACCGGGTCATCATTTTGATCGGCCTTGTTCACCGTTATCGTTTGGATCATCTTCATCACCATCATCATTACCATCCTCGCCATTATCATTACCATCGTCATCATCGCGATCACCCTCGTCATCATCCTCATCATCATCTTCAGAATCCGACTCATCATCATCGGTAGCAGCATTACCATCATCGTAATCATCATCATTCGTCCTACCACGACTACTACTGCTACTTATTTTGCTACCGCCACTACTACTAACATTACTATTACTATTACTATTACTACTACTACTACTACTACTACTACTACTACTACTACCACTACCACTACTACTACTACTACTACTACTACTACTACTACTACTACTACTACTACTACTATACTACTACTACTACTACTACTACTACTACTATTACTACTACTAGTACTACTACTACTACTACTACTACTACTACTACTACTACTACTAGAATTGTAATGCTACTCTTACTATTACTACTACCGCTGCCACTGCCACTGCCACTACCACTACCACTACCATTATTATTACTAGTACGACCTACTTGTACTGAGGCTACTACGACTGCTATTTTCACGCCAACAACAAATGATGGTTTTAGCTTTATCACCACTACTACTACTACTACTACTACTACTACTATTCCTACTCCTACTCGTAGTAGTACTGGTACTGGCATTCGTACTAGGAGTACTACTACTACTACTCCTACTACTACTACTACTACGACTTCTACTCCTACTACCATTGCTGCTACTATTACGAGTTCTCCTACTACTACTGATGCTACGACTGCTGCTGTTACTACTACTACTACTACTACTACTACTACTACTACTACTAATACTATTTTTATTTCCGCTACTATTACTGCTGCGCCTATTACTGTTCATACCGTTGCTATTCGTACGACTACCGACAACACTTCTAGCGCAACCACACTTACTACCACTCTTTACGGCTGCTGCCACTAGCACGGCCAGGAATTTCTTTACTTCTTCCACTGCCACTACGCCTATTCCTATTACTTCTTCGACTACTACTACGACTACTACTACTACTACTACGACTACGACTGCGATTACTACTACTACTACTACTACAAACGCTACGACGACCACGATTACGAGGAATACGACTACGACTATTCCTGCGACGTCTTTACTTCTTCTTCTCACTACTGCTACTACAGCTACGGCTGCTACTGCTACTACTACCGCTTTTACTAGTACACCGGCGACTGCGACGACTAGTGCAACTACGACTATTACGCCTCCTGCGACGACTGCGGCTATTATCAGTTCTACGACTACTCTCACCACTGCTACTACTACCGCTACTACGACTACTACTGCTACTACTACTACTACTATTACTACTACTAATACTACTACCATCATGACTGCTACTACTACTGCTACTACTACTACTACTACTACTACTATTCCTAGCACTAGTACTAGTACTACGACTACTACGACTACAACTTTAACGCCAACAACAACGGCTGGCACGAGTATTACCACCAATACTAGCACTTCTACTGCTGCTACTACAACCACTACTACTACTCTACTACATTACTACTACTACGGCTATTCCTACTACTTCTACTACTACTACTACTGCTACTACTACTTGTACTACTACTCCTGCTGCTATTACTACTACTCCTATGACGACTCCTACGACAACGACGATTATGACGACGACTAATGCGACGGTGACTACGGTTATTACTAGTACTACTAGTTTTACGTACTACTTCTTCTTTTCTATCTCTTCTACTACTGTTCTTACGCCTACCACTACGACTATCTCGACGACTACTACTATTACTTCTACTACTACTACTACTACTACTACTACTGCTACTACTACTACTACTACTACTACTACCATCATTCGTACTTTTAGTACGGATACTACTATTACTATTTCTATACTACTACTACGATGGCTACTACTACTACTACCACCACTACGACTACTACCACTACTACTGCTGTTACTAGTGCCATTAGCACTACTACTACTACTACTACTACTACTACTACGACTACTACTACTACTAGTGGTACGACTACGAGTATTATGTCCGCTTTTTTAACGATTACTACTACCACCAGAATAAGTACCGCGACTACTACCACTTTCATTACTCCTACTATTACTGTTCGTAGTCTTACTACGACCTATTACTACTGCTTTTTCTACTACTATTACTACTACTCTTACTACTACTTCCACTACTAATACTACTTCCACTACTACTACTACTACTACTACTACTACTACTGGTACTACGACAGCCACTACTGCGACTACTACTACTACTACTACTACTACTACTACTATTACTACTACTACTAGCACTACTACTACTACTACTACCACTACTACTACTACTACTACTACTACCACCACTACCACTACTACTACTACTACTACTACTACTACTACTACGACTACTACTACTACTATTATTATTACTTCGGCTACTACTATATCTACCACCATGACCACTACTAATAGTACTACATTTACGATTACCATTACTACTACTACGATCACGATTACTACTAGGACTATACTACTACTACTACTGCTACTACTACTACTACTACTACTACTACTACTACTACCACTACCACTACCACTACCACTACCACTACCACTACTACTACTACTACTACTACTACTACTACTACTACTACTACTACTACTACTACTACTACTACTACTACTACTACTACTATCACTCGTGGTCTGCAATCGGTCCGACCGCAACCTCTTTGTCAAAAGTCCATCTGTGAGCCTGAGGCAGCCCACTCATTCCAGAAGTGTGTAAGCGACTCAGTTTGTAAGCAACCCCAATGCATCGCAACCACTTCGGCCGATCGCAACTGGTTGGGATCCGCCCCAAGTGGATGCGATTGGGCCGAAGTGGTTGCGATCAGCCCCGCTTGCGTTCAACTGCAGCTTGACCCTAGAGCTTGTCTCAAGTTCGACCCAAGTCGACGGACCTTCGACGCAGCAATGACGCATGCATGGAGCGAGTGACTCCAGGAATGACCCCAGCACGTGCACAGAGAATTCCCCGAGCTCGGCTTGCTTCCGCGTCTTCTTGGGCGCTCCACTGCAGGGCCGCGCCCTCTCCCGCCCCTGCTGTCTCCCCGCCACGCCGCCGCCGTCTCCGCCGATGGCTGGGCCGCTGCGCTCTCCCGCTGCTCCCGCACTGCTCTGTCCCTGTCGCACCCGGAGGTACTCGAAGGCAATGAATGGTAGGGGGGAGTGGGCTCAGGGGGGGACGAACTTTCGAGGTTGGAGCTTCGAGGTTTCCGGCCGTTCTCGCTGGTCCTCGGCGTCTTTCCAGCCTCGGGAATGCCTTCCAGCGGCTGCGCCTCGCCGAGAGCGTTTCCGGGGTGCCCGGATCGTTCCGAACGGCCGCTGGAAGCTAGAGTCATGACGCGGAAACCACCAGGGGGTAAGGATCAGGGGGGGATGCGTTGACCCCGAATCGCCAGTTGCTCCCCAACTGGGGCCCGATACAACGGAAACCCATGCCAAGAAACACCCTGCTTGCCTCCAGGATGCCTTTGGTTTCTTGGGTTTCGATGGTTTTGTTCTGGAAAGCGTGACGCTTCCACAGCTAAAATTAATGGACGTCCTGGGATCTCAGGGTTGGGTTTCTTGTGGAAGGTTTCCTGCGGTCGAGCTCCTACTGTAGTCCCACCCCTCCCAGAAACATGCGCATTTGCTATCAGTGGCCTATCGCCGATGCATCGCCGATACCATGGTCGACGTTTCGCCCATTGAGCTGGCCCCCCCCTAGCTTCGCTCCCCACAAAGTAGCCAGGGACGCAAGCGGAGGAGTTCGGTGCACAGACGGTCAAGCGGCCCAGAGCCTGGGACGCCGAGGCGTTTATCCAGATTTTGTACACACGACTTTTTTCCGAACAAGAAGGTCGAGCCTTATCGTTATCGTCACCTTCTCCGCGTCCTCCTGCTGCTCCTAGGCCTCCTTCTCCTCTACTTCCTCCCGTTCATCCCCATCTTCCTCCCCCCCTCCGCCCCCCCTTCCTCTTGCGCTTGTCGTCCTCGTCGTCGCCGCCGTCGCCAGCGTCGAGTCCTCACGACGGGATGATTCGGACAGTCGCCAAGGAGGCGGGTGAACTCACAGTTGGCCCAAGCGCACGAGCACGAGGTGCTAACAACCAGGTGTAGTGCCACATTTCCGGCGTAATGAGCAGATTTGGCCACTGACCCGAACCTGCTCTGAGGGGATTGCAGTCGTCGTGGGTGCGTTGGCTGATCTGCGCTGTGAAGCCCAGCACGGCTTCGTCGTCCTCGTCGCCGCCATCGTCGCCTCTCTCCGAACGCCCTCGTCGTCGTCCTCCTAGTTCGCGTGTCTTGCTTCCGTGAAACGCCGCAGCCGCGCGTCCTGTGCGCAAGTCGGGTTGCGTTGGATGCGTTTGTAGATTCAGTGTCTCCCGTCGCCAGTCGATCCAGGAAATGTTGATCTTCAGATTATGTGGCCAAAAACTTCCCCAGTGTATACACCGAGCCTCCTTGGCCGACCCGACGACTGGGGCGTACAGTCGAGGCTGATTAGTAGGTCGACCCTGCCAAGTTGAGGGTACCCTGGTGTCCTGTGTTTCGCGACCCATGCCTTCAACATTCCTCTTGCAATGTGGCCCTCGGAAGGGTTACGTTCAGGAGGGGAAAAACACACAGACACAATTAATCGTCGATCCCCCAGAAAATATGGGAGAATATGGGAAGTGGGGGGGAAGACAAAAATCCAGATATATATATATATATATATATAATATATATATATATATATATATCATATACCAAGGGTACCGGGGGCCAGGCCCCGGGCCAGGACACCCTCCCGAATTTCCCCCCCCCCCCCCCGTAACCCACTTTGCCCCCGGGCGTCCGGAGGCTCTTTTGCGCCCCCGGAGGCGTCCACCACGGCTTCTGGGGACGGCAAGAAGCCGCCAAGATGGCCCAAGAGCGCTCCAAGACTCTCAAGATAGCCCCATCAAGGCCCAAGGGGCCCCAAGAAACCCCAGGGGCGCTCCGAGAGGCTTTCCAAGAGAGCCCCAAGAGGCTAGAATCATAGAATTTCATAGTGTTTTTCAATGTTTTTTGCTTGCCCGCGTTTTCGGGCTTCTGACCTTCCAAGATTGCCGAGGAAGCCTCGAACATCGCCCCAAGACGGCCCAAAAGGCCCCCGAGAGGCCTCCAAGACAGCCCAAGAGGGCGCCCAAACGGTCCAAGAGGCGCCCAAGACGGCCCAAGAGGGCTTCAAGACGGCCCCAAGAGGTGCCAAAGAGGGGGAACACGAACCGACAATGGAGATTTCCGCCCGAATAGGCCCCCAAGAGGCCCCCAAGAGGCCCCAAAAGGCTTAAAAATGCGCCCATCAGAGACCCCACAGAGGCCCCAAGATGCCCCAAAACGGCCCAAAAGGGTCGGCCTGTGGGGCTCACCGAGCCCCCCGAGACGGCCCAAGAGGCCCCGAAGCCGGCCCAGGAGGCCCAACCAGACGGCCTCAGGGAGGCCCGAGAGGGCCCCGTTCGAAATCATGTTCCTGGAAGCTTCTCCGGTAACATGACTTCCGGGTTCCGAGGACGCCTTAGAGGGCCCCAGGACAGCCTCAGCGAGGCCCAAGAGGGCCCGCGATGGCTTCAAGATGGCCGAAGGGGGCCCCAAGAGGGCCTTCAAGAGGCAAAAATCAGCCCGTCACCGCAGCAAAACGTACGGACTCGGCGCGAGACAACTGGCGACCGCAGCTGCCGTCCCTTCGTGCTGAGCGAGTGCGAACCTGGCGTTCAGTTTGGACGGGACGTGTCGGGTCTGTTGCCAATCGGGGCTGCGCCAGGTTAGGCCACCCCCAAGGTCAGGTTCGGGAATTGGTCGTAGCAACGCGACGACGACGACGACGACGACGACGACGACGACGACGACGACGACGACGACGACGACGACGGTACGCCCCACAGGCTCTCCAAGACGCCCCAAACCCATGCTCCCAGAAGGCCTTCTGGGAACCCGATTCATACGGCCTCCGCCCCCTACACAACAATTTTCCTCGAAGGCCTTTCGGAATGCAGATTGGTATGCGTGGACTGTGGTCCACTACTTCAGTGGAGCAGTGAATTCGTCAAGGCCTGGGGCCTGCTAGAACCTGAGCGCGCGCGAAGAGCGCGCGCGATGGTTCTAGTTGGAACATAGGGGGAATAGTTTTTGTTTGTGTGTATTTGTTTGTGTGCCCCAGTTCCCCTTCATACGTGTCCTTTCGAGTGCTTTCTTCCATCAGCCCCGACCATGCACTTTGAGCCCCCGCCGCGCCCCGCGCACCGCTGCCGAGTCGGCCGCCGCCGCACCTCCGGGGCGGGGACGTGTCCATACCCACCGCCTCGGGGCCCGGTCTTCGTGGGCCTTGGCAGGCGACGACTCTGGAAAAATCATCGGGCCCCCTGGAGGGGGAAGGCACATCTATATACACCTTAGGCGATGGTTAAGAAAACCCAAGTTTTCGGCCAGAGTCTCGATTATTCTTAATGTTTCCATGTACATCCTAAGATTTCGATGGAAGTTCTGGGCTTCTACTCAAGTTCTGAGACTATGAATTTCTGAACCCATGATTTCTTAAGCATTTCGCAGGGTGTATACACCGTTTGCCGAGTTTCTCGAAGATTGATCCTGGCGAGTGGGTAGGCGCCAGAACCATAGTTCAACAACAAGAGAAGTTCAGCAGAAGCACGAGGGCAAACATCACGCAGAGGTGAGTATGCCACGAGGAAGACTTGGGCACGCGAGTAAGCTTACAGTGCAATGCCACTGCTCGCATTTCAGATGTTGTGCATGTGTTGTACGGTTAGTGTGCTTGCTCTGCACTTGTTTTGAACTGGTGTTCAGCCCTTTGCGTTTCTTGTACGCTTAGTGCATTCATCTTGTACTCGTTCGTCCGGTGAACTTTTCCTGTTTTTTCCGCATCCGGATTTTTACGTTGATGTTCGTGCCCGTCTGGGCTTGTACACTGAGTTTTCTGCTGGCTCGAACTCGTGGAATCCCACCTTTGGATAGATAGACTACGTAATCCATAATCGGATGGACTCGTACTTCCTGAAGCGCGACTCTTTGATCGTATCGAAGATTTGCAGGAATTTTTGCAGTCTCCCAGACACGGCAACTTACAAGGCACGTCCTTGTATTGCTTTGCGCATTGGAAGCGCTCGTCCATGCCAAAGACCCCTACCGGCCAGAATACGGCTAGTTCTGGTCGCTTTTTTGGGCGTCTAGTTGGCCAGTGAACAGGAGTGGAGCGACGTCCCATCTTTTATACCGCTGCATCACTACGAAATTGATTTACCCAAGAATTGAAACGCCAAGTAAAATTTTACTTGATTTTTTGTAATTGCGCGGGTCATAGGGGGGTAGGCTGAGTGGACGGGTGCAGGGGCATTCCAATGTTCGACCCGTGCGACACTGCGATAATGATACACACGCCCAGCATGCGTAGCCAGTTCGGGGTCGGCTTCTGTTTTGCGTTGTCGGCCCTCGCCGCGCTCCCAGCTACAGGCCGCATGCATCGCCACCACTGGTGCGCGGGTCGTGGAGCAGGACAAGAACTGTGAAAGGCGACTCAAGGGTGGACGAATCCTACCCACCCGCAATGTCACGGAATCTGCGCCGCAGGTTCTGAATTGCAAGTGGCGGGACCCGCCCGCAGACAACATGAAACGCGACCGCGACGGACGCGGTCGCCCACCGTGCAATCAAAGGTGGTGCCACCAGGAAATTTGGCCCACTAACGCGGTTAAGGCGCCCCAAGCCATAAGACGTCAAGCCATCATCCTTTCCCGGCATCCTTGGCTGCTGCTTCGGCCGTCCAAGGGTACCCTTGGCGGCACATTCATCCTTGCCGTTTGGGGTTGAAGCCCGTTGCACGGCGGCGTCGCAGGGATGGGGGAGGCAAGGGTACCCTTGGGGATCCTTCCGTATCCTTGCCCATGTTCTCGTTTGGGCGGGCGCATCCCCGCGCGTTTCTTGCCGCGTAATGGCGTTGCACGGCCCCTTGGGCATCCTTGCAGATTTTTGGGTTGTCGCCTTCTCCCCGATCTTGTGTCAGTTTTGACCCGGCAACGGTATATCTTCATGTTCCCCACGCCCCCTTCTTTGCCTCCCCCCTCCTCCCCCGCGGGGGCTTGTCGCCCGCTGCTCTTCTGAGGCGCCCTTGGCCCATGATGGCGTCCAGATTCAAAAATGTACCATTGGTTTTCCTCGAGCGGTTTCCGTGGTGACACGCGTCACCTGCTTTTCTTCTGAAGATTCCCAGGCTCATGTTGGCGCCGAGAATCAAACGATTACGTTTGGTTTTCTCCAAGCGGTTTCCGCGGTGACACGTATCGCCCGTTGCTTTTCTGAGGCTTCTTTGGATCATGGCGGCGTCCAGAATCAAAAATGCACCGTTGGCTTTCCTCTAGCGGTTTCCTCGGTGACACGTGTCACGAGTTGCCTTTCTGAGGTTTCCTTGGTTCATGTTGGCGCCCAGTCAAAAATGCACAGTTGGTTTACTCCATGGGGCTTCCGCCGTGGCACGTGCCATCCAGACGGTCACATCCAGTTCGTCATTTGATGTCGTGGTTGCCTGTCATACCTTTTCTCCCGTGACACTTTTCCACGCTAGTCGGCGGCGCGCGGTTAACAACTTTTCAGGAAGTAACCTTTGTCGATTTTCCTGTTCCCTGCTCCTCCCCTTCCGCCAGCGAGCAGCTCACCAGGAGAGATCTTATAACAAATTGTGTGCGCATGCTTTCCACGCCGCGCTACCCCAGCCCGTGTCGTACTCAACGGGATCCTGCCCTCCATCTTCGCTGGAGGCACTAGGTTCTATTACATCCAATGTTATTTAGACACTACGCTGGCTTCGTTTTAT